GGATATCTTAGACGAGCATGCATGGCTTTTAGGAAAATTTTCCTGAGGCGCGGAAAAGTGTGCCCATTCGAGGAATGTACAACAATCGCTTCCACGTGTATGAGGGTTTTTAGAAAAAACTTTCTGCGTGAAAGCGAGATTGGTATAATTCCATCGGGTGGGTACAGACACGCGAATACGCAATCGCGCAAAGCACTGCGTTGGCTGGTGTGGATGGAGCGAGAGCTCGGTCATCCCATTATTCACGCAGGGCGTACCCGCGAATATCGCGTACTCGACGGCACACTCGTCAACGGATATTACGAATCGTTAGAAAACGGCGTAACGCGACATCACGTGTTTCAATTTCACGGATGCTTTTGGCACGGTTGCCCGTCGTGCTTTAGAATCAACCGCGACAGTAACCTCTCCGTAAACAGCGTAGGGATACGATCGATTTGCGTTATGAGCATACCGTCGCAACGACATATCGTCTTCAAAAACGCGGATACACGGTGACGGAGAAATGGGAGTGCGATTTCGATCGTGCGATGGCTGTAAATAGCGTAATGCGGGAATATTTACAGCACCATCAAATGGTTGAAAACGAACCGCTCAGTCCGCGCGATGCGTTTTACGGCCGGCGTACAGGGAATGTCGTAACTCGATATGAAATTACGGGTACAGAGAAGATACGATACATCGATGTATGTTCTCTGTATCCGTATGTTTTAAAAACGGGTACTTTTTCGATCGGACATCCCACGGTGTATGTCGGGGAGGAATGTTCGGTACTAATCGGAGAAGGCCCAAATTACAATTTCGACTCCGTCGAAGGCCTCGTACGTTGCAAAGTACTCGCACCGCGCGATCTCTTTCACCCCGTGTTACTGTATCGCGTACGCGGAAAATTGTTATTCGCGTTGTGCCGCAATTGCTGCGAAACATTTTCACGCGAAAATTGTACACACGTGCCTTCCGAACGTGAATTTACGGTACATGGTATCGTGCGAATTGCGCAAAGCGCTTGAAAAAGGTTATTTCGTGTCGGAGGTTAGCGAGATTTAGCAGTACAACGCAACACGCTACGATTACGGTACGCGGCAGGGTGGATTATTCGCCGAATATATTAATACATTTTTAAAATTAAAACAAGAAGCCAGCGGGTGGCCGAGTGAATGTACCGATGACGAGGCTAAAGAACAATATCTTCGCGATTACGAGGAAACCGAAGGTATCGTTCTCGAAAGTAACAATATCGCGAAAAATTCGGGATTACATTCGGTCGCAAAGTTGTGTTTAAATTCTTTTTGGGGGAAATTTGGCCAACGACCCAACCTAACGAATACCGAAATCGTAAAAACTCAGCAACGATTAGCGAGTTTGCTCACAAGCCCCAAACACGAAATAACCGAAATACTACCGGTAAACGAAGATGTGATGTATGTTTCATGGCGACTGCGGGAAGAGGCCGACGTTCCCTCGCCTCTTACCAACGTCGTTTTAGCGGCGTACACGACGGCGCTAGCGCGATTAGTGTTGTATAAATATTTAGAACGCTTAGATTGACGCGTTTTATATTATGATACCGATTCTTGCATTTATGTAAGCAGCGGTGATCCTTCCGAATACGAGCCGCGTACGGGTAATTTTTTGAGCGATATGATGAACGAACTCGAAAGCTATGGGTCCGGTAGTTACATCGAGGCGTTTGTATCCGGTGACCCAAAATTTTATGCTTACGTTGTTCGCACACCGGAAGGACTCACGCACGAAGTTTGCAAAGTAAAGGGTATAACCCTAAAGTTTGCAAACTCATGCTTAGTTAATTTTAATAGTATAAGAGAATTAATATTGCAAAAAGAGCGAGAGGGACGAGAAGAGGAAAGTGAAGAAGAAGAAGGAAAGTCACATAGAACATCGATAAATCTACGTTTCAGAGCAATTCGGCGTACGGCTTTTTACGAGTTAATAACTTGCGACGAAGTGAAAGCTTGTACTCCTGTGCTATTGAAACGTAGATTTCTCAATAGTCGTTGTTCCGTTCCTTACGGTTACGCAATTCACTAATTTTTTACGGAATTGTTCTTTCGCTTTTTCGCTGTCGACGGTTAGCGCGTGTTTTCCGACTTTATGTAAATAGCTTTAAGTAGATTTATAAATTTTTGTAAAAAGTATAAATAAAAA